CCTCGGCGTTAGGCTCCCCAGCCTCACCTCCTGACTCGCGCGAGTGACACGGGTAGAACTTGGTGGAAGTAGGCGTTCCGCCAAGTATCGAGGCCCTAAACCGTTTAGGGCTTTATACGTGAACATCAACACTTTGAAGTCGATGCGGAATCGGATGGGCAGCCAATGCAATGCAGCCAGAGTGGGTGAGATGTGTTGGTATTTTTTCACATCACTGAGAAGTCTGGCCACTGCATTCTGCACCACCTGAAGTTTCCGCAGCAGCCTCAAAGGCAGCCCCACGTAGACAAAGCCCTGTTAGCAGATAGCTTATAAAGCAAATAGACACAACAGTGCTGATTGAAGGAAATGGATTGGTATTCCAGTTCTTATACTAGCTAATTTGGAAACTTAAAGTATGCCACAGGAAACACTGAAGCTCTTTTGGAAAGCATTCAGTACACCCTATGGATATCTATGGATTTCAACAATATTCAAACAACATTTCCTATAGAGTTAATTTCATGTTCTGTTTAGACAAAAGCAGATACAGCAATCTGAGAAATATTCAGGATTCTGCTCAGTTATTTTTGATAAGCATTTTGATCCAAATGAGCTTAGTAGCCATTAGGCAATAAATTATTGCACATTTGCCTGCCAGTGTCTATTTCAGGATGGTGTGCATTTTTTTTCTAATTCCAAAAACCAATCAATACCTCTACAACAGAATACAGTTGTGCCAAGGAAGCACAGTATTAGTTAGTACATGGACAGCATTTTTCCACTCACACAGAATAACAGCAAGTAACTGAAGCCAGATTTTTGCTAAAGGCTGCAAAGGGAATCAATATTCTATTCTTGTAGTATTGGCATCAGTGTTGTTTTAAAGAGAAAATAATATACTGACTCTCTGGGCAATTCAACTCACAGTCATAATTTAGTGAGCAAATCCTTGAAAATCCTCAGTAAAACTAATAGGAAGACTCATCAGAAACTATACGGAAAACTTCTAGTCATCTAAACCAGGTGTTACATACAGCACTGATGTTACCTGTCTGTCATGGGTTTGGAGGGAAAGTTCCATCCTATGGGGAGTGGAAGGCGGGACATCAGGAGGAGGGGCTGTACTGTATAAATATGTGATGCCTGTGTGGTGAAGAGAGAGATGCTAAGAGACACTGGGTTGTGACGAAGCAGCAGCTGGGAAGAAGAAGCTGTTGTGGGAGTCTGTGTGTCAGACAGGGTACTACTGTGTGTCAGAGTACCAACCTGATAGGTTCAGGTGTCTGTTGGTTAGCCAGAACTGATAGGTTCAGGGTCTGTGCTTCAAGTTAAGGGTTCTGTGTGAACCAAACTGTGTGCCTGTATGAATGAGACTAAGCCACGTTACTATATCTTATTCACCTAATCATTTTATTTTCCCTGTGAGTTGTATTTAAATAAACCTTATTCTTTTATTTGTTTAAAAATCCATCCCTGGTCTGTGTGACTTCTTAATGGGAATGGTTGGTGGCAGCTTAGTGTAACTGTGTGACATATCCCAGTAGGTCCTAGTCATCTAAACCAGGCTTGGGGAACATACAGCCCTCTAAATCTGTTGAACCAACTCCTGTAGCCAGCCAGGTCTCATATAGACAATTGTGATGGACAATGCAAGTTTTCATACCACCAGTGCATCTCAACTGCTACATGCTCCTCAGGCCTGATTTATATCTTTGGATTTTCCAGTTAGACTTGGAGAGGCCACCTCCACAACAAGCACTGGAGGAGATCTGAGAGACTAGAAGACAAACAAATTTATTTGGTTTCGAGATTATCATCGCACTGGTATCACTGCATCTGAAATTCCTACATGGAAGGGATACAGTACAACAACAACAAAAAATAAACACCAAAACCATGCCTATGTGGTTCAGGGTTTTGAGAAACTCAGATTCAAATCATCCTGTTAGTTACAATCCTAACCGATTAAATCGCTCACTCTCTCAACCTGACCTAAAGCAGTATTGTTGTAGCATGTGCAGTATTCTATCCTATATGTCTACTTTGAACAAATTCCCACTGGATTGAATAGGACATCACTCCTAACACAGCATATGTAGGCCTGAAACTTGTACTCTGAACTCCTTGTAGAAATGTTCAGATACAAAATGAAGCAAATAAACTGCAATTAATGTTTGAAGACATAATACTTCCTGATGTTAAGCATCTTTGTTGCTTTTTACATGATCTCAAGGAACATTAATTTGAAATACTTTCTTGACAAGTAGATTTCATGTCACATTTTAAGTCTTTTTTTTAACACAGCTCTGTCTCCCACCCCAGTGAAGGAAAAGAGAGAATACCCAACTAAATAATAATTATACGAGAAGAAGAAACATTCCTTGGAGAAGTTAAAAGAAAATCTAAGTAGTTCAATCCAGCACAAAAACCTACTATCAACTCTGTAAACTCACAATAGATTACTGCAAATGAAAAATGCTAGCTAGAGAAGAACTCCACTAAAACTAGAATATCGTTCTACTGCTGAGCCCCCTAACATGGCATCTAATTGTCTTCACCAAGTGCAAGTAGAAGATAGATCTGGATGTACTGATAGAGTTGGTCCCGTTCCTACAGAAGTCTGATCTGGTCGCAGTGATTCATGCCTTATTTACATCCTGACTGGATTACAGTAATTTGCTCATTGTGGGCCTGCCTATGGAAAGTGTCGGGAAACCACAGTCAATCCAAAATGCTGCAGCTAGATTGTTAACTGGGTCTGGTCACAGAGGTCACATTACATCTCTGGTACAGCAGCTCAACTGGTTGCTGATCCATTTCTGGGCAATTCAAAGTGCTGTTTTTAACCTATAAAGCCCTAAACGGCTTGGATCCAAGGTACCTCAAGGGCTACATCTCCTTTCATAAGCCCCCCTGGGTGTTAAGATAACCAAGGGAGGTCTTTCTATCCATCCCGCCACCTTCACAAGTATGTTCTATGGGACAGCGCCTTCGCTGTTGCTGCTCCCCGACTTCAGAACTCTCTCTCACAGGAGGCCGGACTGGCCCCATCTTTGCTGTCCATCCACAAGCAGGTGAAGACCATTCTCTTCAGGTAAGCGTTCTCTGAGGGACTGTTTGTCTGAGTGGGGTTTTTTAACGGATGGTTGTGCCTTGTTGCTTTGAATGTGTTTTTGGTGTTGATTTATTTTACTGTTTACTGTTTCATTCATCCGTTTTATTTAAAATATTTTACCCCACTTTTCTCCTAAGAAAGAACTCAAGGTGGTTTATATAATTAAATCATAATATTAAAGCCAAATCATTGAATTATTCAAATATTAAATTAATTAATATTTAAGAATGTTGAAATATTACTAAAAGAGATTTAGAAGCATCAAAATGCAAACCATCTTGTTATCTGATTCTTTTTTAATATGTGTATACTTACTGGTTTTAGCTTTCAAATACTGTATTTTACTGATGTAAGCCACCCAAAAGACCTGGGTCCTTTTTAAGGAGAGAGGTAGGATAAAAAATATTTAAAATAAATAAATAGAGCTCAGTAATTTGCAGCAGATAAGCACAGATTTCTGACTCTGGATTGTTTAACAAAAGCACTAAGAAAAGTTTACTCCTGATCACCTGTGACAACTAGCAATGTTTTCAGTGTGGGAGGACAATGAACTTTATACAGTTTTGGTGCCTAAAATAAAAGTCAATTTATTCTAAGTGCATAAGGCTATATTTGGTGAGTCCTGTGGCTCGTTTAAAAAAAAAAGCTGAAAGCATGAAATCTGCCCACCCAGGTCTACAAGGTATCAAACAGTCGATTAACAAATAAACTATACACTGATTAACTTGGTACTACAGTATTAATTCCCTTTACTACCCTGCTGCTATGTATGCAGCCCCAATTTAGATTAGACACAGAAGCAGACAAGGAGGCACTAATTAATCCAGTTAATCAATTCCGACTTCTAAGCCAAAGAGTGGGGAGGGACTGCATGTTTATTTCTGATGCCTGTTGTGCAAATTGATATAGAAAGCCAATTATGTTAAAGACCATTTTCAGAAGCCAGATCTCTGCACCGCTTAGTAAAAAGAACTGAACCCAACATGCTTATTTGCAAAGAGATCCTCTAACGCTTGTTTTAAACTATTAACTGACTACAGTATCAACAAAGCTTGTTCTTCGATTTAAAAAAAAACACACCTTCTAAAAGCTACGGATAGCGAGGATAAAATACAGGTAACGCAAAGTGCCTGAGGGAAATGCCAGCATCACAACACATCACCAAATCTGCAAAAGGATCCAACACAGCCTCCGCCGCCACCATCATCATCACAACAGTACTACTGGCACATGACAACGCAGGTGATTATCTGGTGGGGCTCTTAATTTAACTCCTCTCTCTCACTCTTAATCGTACGAGGACGCAAAGGATGGGCCGGAGCCGCCGCGGGGGAAGCCTTAGCAAGACCTTCCCCAGGAAGAAAAGTGCCGCTGGGCTTGCAAAAGGCAGCGGGAGCAGAACATAAAGCGAGGGATGATGATTCCCCACCACCACCCTTGGGGCTGCTTCCAAACTTGCGGGGTGGGAGGTGCGAGTTGCCAGCGTCTGCGGCGGCGGCAAAGGGACTGCGCAGACCAGGAACTCCTTTCCCTCAAGGGCTGGCGGGGCCCCCCTCCTGCAGGGTCTCGCCGACTCAGGCAGGCACCCCACAGGTCCAGCAGTCCGCAGCCCCACTGATCGAGCTTCTTAAATCCCCGTGTCTCGGGCAGGAGGAAGCATGCTGGCAAGAGTTGCACGGCAAAGACGCCGGCAAGTTACCCTCCTCTTCCTCCGCCTCGCCTCGCAACAACTAGTTCCTCAACTCTTCCTTGCATCCCTGCCCTGAGGTCACCGGCGATCCCCACGGGGCGAGAGATGGAGATGGAGTCGATACCAGGGAGTGTATGATCAGGATTAATAGTCCTTTGGCATAACAGAGCTAAACTGGGGTAAGAACCCCTCTGTTTCCCATTCTCCTTTTAGAAACCCGGGCACTTACCAGATTGAAACTTCAGCCTCCTGCTTTCTGCCTTCGGGACGCGAGTAGATTGTTGGGGCTTTCCCCCGCCAACCCGTGGACGCCCCGAGACCACCCTTCACGATATCGCCATAAGCGCCGCAACGGTCTCCATTCTTGCTATGGGCAAATAAAGCGCTTTGCTCCAGATTACCCTCAATGTGACTTCTGGCACAGTGAAATAAGATTGGCTCGGATTGGCTGGTCTCTCATTTCAGTGCAAAGGTTTAGTGGCGATAGGCTAGAGTAGGGTAAAGAGGGACGCTGTACTTCCGCCCTTCCTTCCAGTTCGTCACTTGTAAATGCTCTAGGTTCCAAGGGGTCAGTGTAAGCGGAGCTGTTTGTTGACTGTTGAAGCTGGGGGGTTTCCTTGGGGTAGATCTCGCATGGATTTGTTGTAAGCGGCGGCAGCTGCTTCTTCAGTGCTGAGATCATTACAAAACCTTTGCCTGATATAGTGAAGGTATTTTTAGCACACGGATTCCCTTCCAGCCACTCCAACATTCTGTTACTATTTCTATTTTTATATTCATATACAGGAAGTTATATACCAGATATCTTATCACTAGTCCTCCGTAATCGCATGTAAAGAAGTGTTAACGACCTAAATATGATAAATATGGATTTATAATTTTGAATCATTCTATTTGCACTTGTTATTTAGTCATTAAGTCGTGTCCGACTCTTTATTAACCCATGGACCAGAGCACACCAATCCGTCCTGCCTTCCACTGCCTCCTGGAGTTGGGTCAAATTCATGTTGGCCGCTTCGATGACACTGTCCAACCATCTCGTCCTCTGTCCTCCCCTTCTCCTCTTGACCTCACACTTTTCCAACATCAGGGTCTTTTCCAGGGACTCTTCTTTTCTCGTGAGATGGCCAAAGTATTGGAGCCTCAGCTTCAGGATCTGTCCTTCCAGTGAGCACTCAGGGTTGATTTCCTTCAGAATGGATAGGTTTGTTCTCCTTGCAGTCCAGGGGACTCTCAAGAGTCTCCTCCAGCACCACAATTTAAAGGCATAAATTCCTCGGTGGTCAGCCTTCTTTATGGTCCAGCTCCCACTTCCATACATCACTACTGGAAAAACAATAGCTTTGACTATGCAGACCTTTGTCAGCAAAGTGATGTCTCTGCTTTTTAAGATGCTGTCTAGGTTTGTCATCGCTTTCCTCCCAAGAAGCTGGTGTCTTTTAATTTCGTGGCTGCTGTCTCCATCTGCAGTGACCATAGAGCCCAAGAAAGTAAAATCTGTCACTGCCTCCATATCTTCCCCTTCTATTTGCCAGGGGGTGATGGGATCAGTGGTCATAATCTTAGGTTTTGGTTTTGGTTTTGGTTTTTTGTTGTTTTTGTTTTTGTTTTTTTGTTTTTATGTTGAGCTTCAGACCATTTTTGGCACTCCCCCCTTTCACCATCATTAAGAGGTTATTTAATTCCTCCTCACTTTCTGCCATCACAGTAGTATCATCCGCATATCAGAGGTTGTTGATACTTCTTACGGCAATCTTAATTCCGGTTTGGGATTCCTCCAGTCCAGACTTTTGCATGATGTATTCTGCATATAAGTTAATTAAGCAGGGAGATAATATACAGCCTTGTCGTACTCCTTTCCCAATTTTGAACCAATCAGT